TGCTTTTTGGCTAACAAACAAAAGACTTTTGGTGTCGTCCTTCCATTTGCTTTGGCCGTCGCGAGCCGACGACCAAACTGAGCGGCGTTTGTTTTTGTGTTGACGACGCCCGTCTCTTCCTTCACACGAACCGGCTCCGTTTCTGTCCGGCCAAAGCGGTAAGGCTGTTTGCGTCGAGGCGTGTCAGCAGGCGGCGAATGAAAAGCGCTTCCTGTGCATATGCAGAGTCACTGGAACCGAGCAAACCGCAAGCCCCCCCCCCTCCCCCGTTACTCCGTCCTCACACCGTGGGCCAAACAGGATGTTGTGTAATGTGCCAGAGTATAATGAGAAATGTAACCTCGCATACAGTCGACCCGGCCCGGCCCCGTTGACTGACTCGCCCTCACGCTGACACGCGGCCAGCTTTCCATCTTCCTCTGTCTTCCTTCCAGGCTGGAATTGGACGAAGGGTGGAATATGAGGTGAATCATTCCCAAATTAGAGCTCTCCCGTGTCAGCACTTTTGATCGGGATTTTAGTCCTCTGACGAATGGTGAGATACTGGAAGAGTCCGTCAGCCCTTTACCAAGAGTGAAGTGATGAAACAATCAAAACGCTCGATCGTAACTTGAACGGTGTCGTGTCGACGGGGAGGAGCGGATGACGGCAAAATGGTCGCTTCTTGCGCACAAGACCGTTGACCCTACATTTGACCTCGAAAGAAAGATTGCAAGATTGAAGTGCGGTCTTCCTCAGAACCTCCCGAAGAACTCGTTCACTCCTCCGGCGGAACCTGGTGACAACGTACCTCGAGGGGGGACATAACGCATCGGGGGCACCTTCTCACGGAGGTTCGCCGTCAACCATTTCCAATAAAATGGCCGCCAGCGACGACTTGTGGGGTCAACGACAAATACGTGGATGTGATTTTGTTGCCACTACGGACGATTGTCAAAATGGCGGACCTTGCCAATGGGCAATCTCGGCCGAGACTCCCTTTCGAAAGCGAGAAACCATTTCAGCCTTCGCGGAGCTCTGCGGCGGTCAAGGCAGGACGGCTTCAATCTCGCCCGACGTGATTTGTCGGGAGTTTTACGGTGTTTTTTTGTTTGGATGTGTCTGTTTTTTTTTTTTAATGGTCGCTGTGAAAATACTTTCCTCTCTGGCTTCATTTAAATTTCTTCTGGCATTCCCGTGAGAAAAAAAAAAATAAAAAATCTCATTTGAAAACCCACCGAGATGTTTGCCAGGGAAAAAAAAAACGGTTCGGTTTGAATAGAAGGACTGTTGTGCCGTGTTGCGCGTGCGTCCCACTCGACTGCTCTGCGGGTCCACTTTTGTGGGTGTTGGTTGCACTCCAGGCTTGGGTTAAGTGGCATTTCCCCCCCCCGTTTTTTCCCTCCCCCCCTCTCCGGTCGGCAGACACGTGCGCTGGGTGTGGTTGAGCGCACACGCTCCTCCTCTTGAGTGGACGCGCTCATCGGGACGGCTTCCTGCCGGGGAGAGCGAGAAGCTTTCAGGACTCGCTAACGTCACACCCGACGCCGCCGTCAACTCGCCGGGTGCTCCCAAAGTCTTTCTTCTTCTCACCGTCGAGATGAAATCCTGGAATGATGACATCAAATCAGGCTCCTCCTCCTTCCTCCTCGCCCCATAAAGCTCCACCGCTGTTTCGAGCATTTTCCATTCCGTCCGTTTTCGATGGAAGGATTCCGGCTCACTCTCCTGAAGGCGGGCTCGCGTGGCCATCGTTTTGGGGTTTGGCAACAAACGGTACGGGAGTTAAAAAAAAAATGAGTGAATGAAATGATGAAATTACCAGTGAGAGGTTTTTTTTTTCTTTTTTCAAGAAAGTTTGTTTCCTAGGACAAAAGGTCCACACACACTTTTGTGCTTCCCCGTAGACACGCCTGCGAACGGACGCGGCCATCGCCCGCCCCGAGGGCGCCGATTGGCCGACAGCCAAACCTTCAAAGTCCAACGGTACCTTCCGCGAGGTGGATCAAATTTGGTCCGGTATAAGCTCTTTAGTGGAGCTACGCCGGAGCAAATGTGCACGTGTGAACGCTCGACTGGATTTATTTCGGAGCTGCGTCGGACCAAACGTTGCCGTGTGAACGGGGGCTCTAGTTTCCTTTCCTTGGTACCTTGTCTCCCAAACTTCCATCCTTCCTTCCTTTCTTCTTCCTCCTCCCCATCTTGCACGTTTGTTTCCAGACTTCCTTCCTTCCTTCTTCACCACTTTCCGTCCGTCCTTCGCATCCATGTTGCTTCGTCTCCCAAGCTGCTCTATTCTCCGCCTCTGCTTCCTTCCTGTCGTCATCGCTTCCTTTCTACTTTCTGTCCCTTCCGAGATGCTTGTTCCCATTCATAGACACACATACACATAAATATATAAAACATTTTTTTTTTCCCTGAATGGCGCATTCTCAAAGCATGTGTGCATGCGCTGCCAGCCCCCCCCCCCCTTTTTTTTTTTTGAAGTGCAGATGTGTGTTCAAAAAAAAAAAGTGCCCAGTCAGCAACTGAAGCAAGAAAAGACCCGGCGGTCGTCTCACATCTGAGCATGAAGAAACCAGAAAGTGGAGAAAAAAAAAAAAAGAAAAAAAAAAAACCTCCTCGGGGTACTTTCCGCTCGTCGGCGTGTGAAGCAGATGCGTGCGCTGTTCCCCGTGGGGAAAACATTTCGCACCTCACCGTCAGCATGATTTGCTTTTCGAAGGAGAATGCTTCGTCATTTGTGTGGTGCGCGTCGGTTTTTTTTTTTTGCATGAAGCAAATTAGCCAAGCGAGAACCAACACGACGTGATCGGCGCTCTTCCGTCCAACCGCAGGTGTTGCTGGCGGCGAGATTCTCAGCCGGCCGCGGGCCTTTCTGCAAACGTGCTTGTTTCGGTCTCGCTTTCTGGCCGAAACGTCGCTTCCTCCGCGTCATTTCGATGATCTTTGACTTTCCGGTGCAGCGGAAAGCTTTGACCGTGACCGAACTTGGGCTGGTGATGCGACTTTCGGACCCCCCCCCCCCCCCCCCCCCCCCCCCCCCTTGCTCCAGAGCAAATGCTCGTTTGCGACGCTACGCCGAAACAAATGTGCACGTGTGAACGCAGCTGGATGAAATTAAATTTAAAAATTAAATATTTCGGTGCAGCGTCGGACCAAATGTGTGCCGTAATGATTCACATGACCAACATCGAATTTTCACGTTTCTAAGTGAAAGTTGTTTGAGACTTGCGTTTTATGATCAGCCATCAAATTTCGCTGCAAGTGGGAACATTCCGACATCACAAGAAGACCGGAGAGTCGCTTTGAACCCAAGAACTCGAAGGCAGATGCCCCAAATCAAAGTCATCCTCCAAAATAAATACTTCAATAAATAAATAACAACGAGTCTCTGCTTGGAGAGCACATAAAGAGGATGATTTATCGTTTTGTTGTCGGCGCAAACAAGAGGCTTCTTCAAAGTCACACTGGGGACGGGAAAAAGGCCGAGTCGCGGCATCTTCATGTGGTGGCCGAGACATGAAAACAAGATGGCTGGCCTGAGTCCGAGACGAGACAAGTGGAAGACTCTCTGACAATGGGACATTTCCCGTTTCCTGCCTTGGAGTGGAGCGGGTCGCTCGCTCGGATTCCAAGTCGCACGCTGCTGCTGTGAGCTAAAAATAGCCACGGCCGAAGCCAGAGTACAAAATGGAAGTCGCTTTTGAGGCTGAGCGGCGGCGGCGGCGACTTGGGTGACTCCCCGCGACCTCGCCGCTCAGTGGATGGCGAGCCGGTGGATTTCGTGCTTCTTCAATCGTCAAAAGGACGTTTGCGATTGGCTTTGTTCATTTTGGCGAGGGTCCCTCGGGTCTCATCGGCCTCCCTGAAAATCTGCTTCACGAGGAACATATCAGCGCAAGTGCCGTATTTTCCCGCACTAGAAGGAGCACGTGAAGGCATTCGATTTTCTCAAACGAATATGGTTCCACGGGGTCCGCCTCACTCAGCAACCGGTGGTCCGTGTGGACTCCCGTCGGACGCTTCATGGCCCTCGCTTGAACTACAAATGGGCGCGGCGAGTCTTGTTTTGCGTCCACCAACCGCCCAGCGGTCCAAATTCCACTCACTCTCTTGTTATTGTTGGGGCCTTGATGCTCCCCCGAGGCGGGCGGATTTGGCAACCTCAACTGTGGGCCGACACGTCCCTAAAAATAGAGCTTGATAATCCATCCGCCTTTGCGCCCCCCCCCCCAGCCTCTTGAAAAGCGCATTCATCAGATCAGCGCAGCGCATTTCGGCACTTTTGGGAGGGGGGCCACCATACGTCTCGCGTCATTTCACGGCGTCTGGAATACCGAGCGGCGAGAATGGCATCGGTAAACGCAAGTCCGTCCCGGGGCGGAGGACCAGGAAATGCTTTCGCTCGACTCTTCGGACCCGCTCAGGCCTCGTGGCTGCGCAACGATTACTACACTGTATGGCAGGGGTGTCAAAGTCATTTTTGTCCTGGGCCACATTGTAGTTACGGTTTCCCGTGGAGCGCCGTTATGAATTTTGGGAAACCATATAAATGTTCAATCGCCTCCACATATTACATACACAGCGCACAACAAATTGACGGATAACTAGTTTTAAAATCAGAAGTCAACAATAATGACCGTTATTGTGGATTACATACGACAATTTGAAATTTTTGGTTCAGACTTGAGCAAGCATCATGGAACTTGACATGCTTGATTTGCTTTTCGCGGGCCACGTAAAATGATGTGGCGGGCCAGATCTGGCCCCCGGGCCTTGACTTTGACACCTGTGCTGTATGGTGTCAACTTTTCCACATGCAAAAACTCGGGAGGGCGGCTTGAAATGTGAGCGCTGTGAGCCGGGGGGTTTGAATGCCCATATTTCGGAACTCGGTCAAGACCGCAAACCCAAAACACGCAATGTTGCCAGACTACTTCTTGGCTCATTTAGGATGAGGAGCAGATGGCTGTCTCCTTGCTCTCACTTTCCTTCGATTGTCAATGAAACAAACAGCAGAGACTCTAACAAGTCGCGCCTTTAATTAAAGACTCGTTGAAACGACTCCTCGCGGAGCTGACAGCGCACGTCAAAATCGATTTCGAGTACGTTGACACATGCGCGCGCATCGTCAGATCAGTCCCGAAGCAAATGAGCAAACACTTGAGTCATGCACATTTGTCATGTCATGATTTCAGACCGACAAAAACATCCTTTCGCTTTTAAATACTGCAGGAGGAATAAACGGGGGGTGCATATGGATTCGCACTTTTTTTGTCAAAGCTGTGCCAACGCACAATGTTTGCATCGAATCCTTCCCATGAAATGTTTCCTCGCCGACGTTGCTTCCCCCTTCCTCGATTCACCCAATCAGAACAAGAGAAGGCGCAGGGTGGGGCTCTTCACACCCCTTTCCTTGCGTAACGCAGCAGCAGCAGCAACAGGCATCGTCGCCGCTTCACCTCCAAAGGCGGAAAAAGAACAGCTCTGCTTTTTTTTTGTGTGTGTGTGTTTTGTTTCGTTGCAATTTTTCCCCCCGGGGTGTGTGAAAGGGGCCGGACACTGACGGCTGTCGGCAGGGCGCCGCGACCGCCGCGTCACAGCACTTCTGGAAGAAGAAGGACAGGCAACATGGCAAAAAAAGCTCATTGAAGAAAATCCAGAAAAAAAAAATTGCTTTGATCATTAAACTCCACAAAAGAACGTCTTGATTTTAATATGACTTTTAAAAAGTGAAACAAAAATTCATTCTTAAATTTCTTTTTAAGAATGAATTTTTGTTTCACTTTATTTTGTAAGCCAAGATTATTTTTTTTTTTTTGTAGCTGTTGTTGAAAATTATCGACTGTGTCGAAATATTTCTTGAGGGGGAAAACGGGACTCATTCTCGAAAATACGACGTTTCCACGTAAGACGACGAGTTAATCCAGAAAAAATAACTCAAGTTTTTTTATGGGGGGGGGGGGCCTTGAGATTTTTTGGAAACTTTTTTTTTTTAATTGAAAGCATGCAAGTGCCCCCCAAATGTAAATGGCTTTTAAAATTGCTTTCTTCAACAAATGACAAAAAAAAATGCAACTTGCCCTAGAATTTACATTAAGGAAAAACTATGATTTACGCTCTTTATAAAAAAAAAAAAAAAAAACAAAAACGTAATCTTACAATTGTTTCCAATTGAAAAATTCTAAACAAAGCTGAACAGATTTTGGGAATGCTGGGAGAGAGATAATTATCCAGGCAATGTTTGAAATAATTTTCTAATAAGTCGCTCAGTGACTGTTTAATGGGAGTTAAGCGCTCTCGCGTTTCCGGGGTGTCATCGAAAATCGCTCTCGGATCCGGTTTCTAAGATCCTTGCGGATCGAGTCTCCTCATCACTTTTTTGACATCCGAGGAATTCCGCTCTGGAAGTGTGCCTAAGTATATTACCAAGAAGAGGAGAATCTGTCGCCATCCGTCACTGCCCAAGCGATAAGCTCTCCCTAAAGACGTGCGCCGCTTTTATTTTAAGCCTTCGTGCTAAGTCTGTTCTCTGAGACTGAAAGAAAAAAAAAATATATACTTCTCATAACTCCGCATTTTATCTTTTCTTTGTGCCCCACTGCACCTTTTTTTCTCTTCTCAAATGAGTAAGGCTTTTTTTTTTTGTTTTTACAGTGAATGCCTTTCGTGCTTCAGACCAATGAAGTGACGAAAAGCTCTTTGGAAATCACCCTTTCCTGAAAAAAATTGTTCCTCTTTGAAAATTAATAAAATCCCACAATTTTGAATGGTCATATTTTCTCGCTGGATGTTTTCTGTTTCAGACTTGATTAACAATGATTTTGTCGGTGGGTAAACGCCGCAGAATGTATGTTTGACTTTAAAATGCTTTTCTTATGCCTTAAGAAAACAGAAACAATCGAGGAAAACAGACATTGCAAAAATATCGATCGTTTTGATTTTTATCCTTTCATTTCGCTCCTGTGGGGGTATTTTGGTTTTGTTTTTTGAAATGGCAATGCCAATTTTTAACTCAAGAATCCCCTCTTTATTTATTGGTTACCGACTTTAGTTTACACAAACGCTTCAGAAATGTGTAATATCTTCTACCCGTGTTTGTGTACTAGTATTCGATATTCCAAAAGTCCTTCAAATAGAAAAATAACCCTATTTCCTGTTCACGTTCTATCGGCCAATAAGAGTAGAGCACCGTGTCACGCGGGTCGTGTGACGTCATACCTGCGACGTGTTGCGTCTTCAGCGGCGCCGCCGCCGCTTTCTTCACGTAGTCGTCGCCACTGTCGAAATCCAAGATGTCGCCGGCGTCCCCGCCGCCCTCGGGTCGTCCCCGCGAGCCGTCGGCGGCGGCGATGACGATGCTTTCCACCAAGTGGCCGTTACGCTCGCGTCCGGCCGGCTGGACCCCGTTGAGCTGAGTCCGGCCCGCGGGGCTGGACGCGGAAGACAGGCGTACGTTCAACCGTTTAGGGCGAGGGTTGCAATTTTGGTTACGTTTGCCGTAAATTCCTATGACCAAGTTAAGCGGGAGAATTTTTGAAATATAATAATGACATGTTGGAAACATTACCTAGTAATTGACGTCAATTTAATGTCATATTCAGGCACATTTTCTTGAAAAGTACAGTTGATGGAGAATTTCCTTCAAATGAGTTTTTTTTCTTTTTTTTTTTCCCTTGAACATCGTATAAAAATATATATTTGTCCAATCTTAACTAAAAAAAAAAAGGCATTCTCAAAACTTGTGTTTACCTTGTTTTGCTCATGCTTTTGAAAAATGCCACTTTTTTTTCGGGAAAAATGACTTTTCTTGGGTCTAGTACACCAACGTGACTTTGTTGCTGACACTACATTGTGTTTTTATTAAAAAATACCATCTCAACGTTCTCGAATGTGTAACTTTGTGACCGTTTCATCTTCAAGCGGCCCTTGTCACGTGATCAAAAACATTTTTCAAATGAGAAACTTGCCATGGAAATTCACCGATGACCTTCGCGCACTTGAACGGAATCACAGCATCATATTTCAAGCAACACGACACAAAGAGAAAACAACCACCACAGAAAACAAAACAAGCAAGCACAAGACTTCCTAGGCCTTGTCGAGACACTCTTCCACAAACAAACAAAGCTCATCACCATAGCAACAAGGAAGTAGCTTGACCGTCACCTTTGTCTGCAGTGTCCGTGTTCCATCTTGTTGTTGTTGTTGTTTTGCACGTTGACAATCTGACAATCTGCAACACCATCATCTGCAAAGTTAAGACAGGATTTATTTCACCAGGGTACAAATGTGCTGCTTTCTCCAACCGGACAGCGTTTTGAAATTGGAACTGGCAACTTGTTCAATTCGGCTTCTTTCATCTTAGGCAGCCGGCTAGAGTCGCGCCTCTCCTTTCTCTGGCGAGTACTTTGAGATACAGTCATTCACGCCCTCGTCACATCTCGGCCGGCCGGGTTGCTGTAACGCACTTGACTTTGGAGTCGGCCGATCCTCCATCCGGCGTCTCCAGTGGGTCCACAATGCCGCCGCTCATCTCTTGACTGGCACTCGTAAGAGGGAGGGAGCGCATTCATTCCCACTCTGGCGTCCCTTCACTGGCTTATTGCAGAGTACTTTTGAATATCCTATTTTTTTGTTGTTCTTTCTCCTGTCTTCATTATTGTTTTGTTTGCTGTCGCATGAATTCTTTTACTTCCATGCACAGCACTTTGTAGACAGTGGTGGTGGTTTTCAAGGGCTCTAGAAATACACTTGTTGAGAATTCTTGCCCCCCTGAAATTGACTATCAACACCGAGTTGTCGTGACAACCACCCAAATGTCGGACGTCAAGTTTTCCAACGGCATCCCGAGAAGAAACGATTGGGAAATGTCGATGTGGTTCTTCATATTTTATTTCAATAAAACAGTTCCTTTTTCCTCATTCCAGCGGTCTTTGATAGGATGGAACTGACCTTTGCCGCTCTCCACCTCTTTCTCGCCGAGCGGATGCAGCTGCGGCAGCGCTGATTTTTTCTCCTGTCGGGGAGAAAAAAAAAATGAAAATAAGTCGCAACGATTGTAGATCACCAATGAGCTTGCATTTCTTTCACCCGCCGCACCTTGTCGCTAGCGTCCGATTTGCGCGTCCTCTTCATGATCTCCTCCAGGCGCTGGGGGGGGGGAAGTCAGATCAAAGGGAATTCATTCCAAGTGTCAAGCCAGACGCTTCAGAAAACATTTTTATTGTTGTGGTTATTACAGCATTGGCAGATTATTCCGACTGGTCTGAAATTAGCAGTGAATATGCCCGGCAGCCTTCAGTCCGTCGCTTGTAGCGTGCCAGCCTGCCCGGCCCGCCCGGCCCTCCGGCCTCAGATGACCACTCCCGTCTCGGCGTTTCTATTGAGCTCTCACGAAAGCAGCTGTCTTCAATGAGGCCGTGGCCACAGCCGAAGCCCGAGACCTCATTCATCTCCGGTAAATTTCCGGGATTCGGCGTTGCCACCGAGAATACGATTCCTCCTCGAGAGGGAAGGCGTGCTTGTTTTCAGTCGACGCCCCAGCCGGCCGGCATCCTCGTGCCATGCATGTCATTCGGTGCCTTTGGCACCGGGAGGCCGGCGGCGACTCCTCCGGCGGGGAAACAGTTAACCAAACTCCACGGCGGAGAAAGCCCAAGCCTACCTTTTTCCTCTCCAGCCTCTCTTGCTCCTCCTTCTGGAAGTGCTTCTCCCTCTCCAGACGCTGCTTCTCCTCCGCCTCCTCGCGAGCTTTCGCCTCGGCTTCGCCTTTCTGAGGACAGAATCCAGGGAGGTTTGGAAAACAACTTGTTCTACGAGTGCACTTAGGCTGTCTTTATCCTTATAAATGAATTTGTTTCACCTGAAAACAAAAATAGAAGTCATTCATGGATACGGTCACGATAACTAAATGGATTGACAATTTGGTCCGCAAATAAGAGCCGAACGAAAAGTCACAGTGAGGAAAATCCTAAGCGAGAGCCAAAGTCGCGTGAGCACAAAGTGCTTTCCTTAAAAATGAAATAAAGGAAGAAATTAAAACCAGGGTGCATGCATACCTGCTTTTGCAGGTGATTGTTGTCAGCCTCGGCCCTCTCCCGAGCCTCCTCCTTCTCATCCTGCTCGCGGCGCTCCTCCTCCTCTCGCTCCCGCCGCTCGCGAGCCTGCCGGCGTTTCTCGGCCAGGATGCGGGCCGCCTCCTCGGGGTCGTTGGTGCCGGCCGTAGGCTTGGGCGACGGCGCCGAGGGCGCGTCCGTCAAGGCCGAGATGTTGCGAGTCGACGCCAACGAGCTTCTGAGAGCAGGAGCGGCAGGAGAACCTGCGAGAGACACAAACGGGATGCCCGACAAGCCCCGGGGTTCAGTTCTCAAATTTAATTTAAAATACAAAAATTATTCAACATCACGGGCATGTAAGAGGGGCCGGGGGGGGGGGGGGGGGCGCATGTGTGCGGGGGCACGTGACTGCGTCGGGCCACCCAAAGTTCAAAGACATTGGCCCCAAAGGCTCAGTCGAAACGTCATCAATAAATACGATGAAATCAACACGTTCTTGATTTCTTCACGCATTCAACGCCGAAACGTAAAAATAGCCGCCGATCCGGGGTCGCGGGGGCCCACAGCTTTAGCAGGGAAGCCCAGACTTCCCCTCCCTCTCCCCCAGTCACTTCTTCCAGCTCTACCCGGGGGACCCCGAAGCGTTCCCCGGGCCTGCCAGGGAGACAATGAGTCTCTCCAGCGTGTCGTCCTCCGTACCCGGAACACCTCACCACAAGGAGGCATCCTTTTTCAGATGCCCGAGCCACTTCATCCGGCTCCTCTCGGATGAGCGACTTCTTATTATAACAAAAATCATGCAGGCAAAATAGTGGAAAAAGCTGACTTGCTCTACTCACGCCGACTGCTGTTTTCGGGGGCGGCCGGTGTGCGATGCGGCCTCACTTTCCCCAGCCGGACGGGGGAGGGAGTGCGGCGGTCCAACCTGGCGGGGGTCCTCGCCCTCCCGGGCCGTCCCTGAGGGGTCGACGGGCCGCCGCCGCCGCCGCCGCGCGCGGTGGGAGGCTTCGGGGAGGCGGCGGGACTCGGCGAGGCCGTCCTGTCCTTGGGCGTGGAGGGCGACGACGGCCGCGCTCTCGATAGCGGACTAGGACGGGACGACACGTGGAGCTCAGCAAATATCCGGCTAATGGCAAGGTGCATACTCATCGACGGTACATGCTAAGATGAGATCTTTTTCACACGGCGAGTCGGACAAACTTGCTAGCGTGTCGTCAGCGAAAACCTTTTGGAAGCTAAACCTCAAATCACAAAAGCGCATGACAATAATCCAGCCCAGATGCGACAGAGGCTGACAGAGGCCCCATCATCAACTTTCAGCTGACCACTTTTGAGAGCGCGCGAGCGCTCCGACACCCAATTAAAAACGCGCCTGCTCCCCATTCACACCGGAGACCTTGTCTGACTTAATGAGCCACATGTTGGAACCGTTGGGAGTCTCCCGTCACCTAAAACGGAGCGTTAAGAGGCAAGAATAACAATCCGGAGAAAATACACACAAAACGGGAGGGGCCAGTGCGGCCATGCGGACCAATATCCCGCCGTGCGGCGGACGTGAGCCATTCGCTTTCCTCTTTTGAAAGTCCAGCCGGTGCCCTGAAGAAATTCAAAGCGGTGAAAACATGACATCATCCATGCAAGCGCATTCGACCATGAGGGATGACATGACATCGCTCGCTTTTTTTGGGCCCCCGGGGGTGCTGAGAGCTCACTCATGCTCCTTTTGTTTGTCATGCCATCCCTTCCAACCTCTGTCACAGTTGCCTTTTATTTGGCGGCCTGAAAGTATCGCCGTTTTCCCCTTTTTGCCTCTGCTCGACACGAAAAAAAAAAACGCAGGCCGAATGGTACCGACGCGTGTTCGACACACACACAGCATTTTTTTTTTTTTTTTACCTCAGGTCAGCTCTGCGTCTCATGCTGGGAAGCGATTGCCTCTTCTTGAGGAACCTCTCCTTCGTCAGGGCATTTTTCTCTTTCTCGTTCTCCCGCTCCTTGTCTTTCTTCTCCTTTTTGCTACGGTCCATCTGCGCAAGGTGGGGGGGGGGGAGCAAGTAAATGTAGACCAGGGGTGTCAAACTCATTTCACATTGTGGGCCACGTACGGAGTCGGTAGATGTCAAGTGAGCCGGACCATTAACATGATACCATACTGTGCTACGAATTGCATTTTATTTAAAATATTCATTCTGTGTCTTGAATGCATTTTTTTTTTTCACTTTTAAATCATCCCGCGGGCCGGATCAAACCTCCTTGGGGGCCGGTTCCGGCCCGCGGGCCGTATGTTTGACACCACTGATGTAGACACTACTCTGCGCGTAAAGGGCCTCTTCCGTGTAGAAACATACCGGTGTGGAGCTCCGTCTGTGCTGGCGCTGGGCGATGTCGGGCGTGCTGGACGTCGCCCTCCAGCGTTCGGCGCAGTGGGGGTGGCGGTGGGGCTGGTGGGCGCACAGCGTCAACGGGCTGGCGGAGGACGAGCGGGGGCACAGCGGCAACTCTGGAGAGGAAGACTTTTGAGTTGCAAACCCGCAAAAAAAAAAAAAAACGCAGCCTCATTCGGGTTTGCAAAGAATGACGGTACTGAGTTGGCGCCACCCGGTGGTTTCTTGATGTAACAAGGACAGAAAGTGAGCCCCCGTCGACTCGCCAGGTCGGCAATTTGGAGTTTGTAACTCGGGGGGGTGACCGACCTTTTTGCCCCGAGGAGCGACTTTTTCGAGCGACCAAACCTCCCGCGATCGACCCCTGACCCGCACGTGCGCACGCTCATCACGATGAGCCAATTAAAAAAAAAGGAACGCTCAACGGACTCTCCCGACCAAAGTGACTTACGTCCATCTTTGCCGTTGGCGAGCACGCTGGCGGCGCTGCGGCTCCGAGCCAGGAAAGACAAGGTGGGCGTCATCAGGCGGTCCACGACGCTGCTCTCCCACGGCCTCAGGGCGACACGACGGTCTGCAAGTTGAGAGAAGAAGCAAAGAAAGAAAAAGCCAAATCAACAAGCGGTGGCTTGCGGGCTTTTACGGGGGGCTGCCTCGGAGCTCCAACGCGTTGGCCCGCTTTTTGGTTTGGCCCAATTTTTCAACTCATCGCCCATGAGTTGACGAATCGCAAGTCCTCTGACATGCTGGTCGAGGGCAGTGAATCATCGGCAGCTTTTTACGTCTCGGTCGAGGCAAAAAAGGTGCGGTCCGGTGCAACTGGGCCAAGTCCCCTTTGACTCCTCGGAAGACGTGATCTCACTCGACTTTGCCACGTGACGGGATTGGCTCAAGTGAAGCAAAAGGCAAAAATCCGACCATGCGGAAGCTGCGCAGCGGAAGCTCAAAGCGCTGGGCTTGGAAAATGAAAGGGGGAAAATGTGTCAGTCAGCCGTCGAGCACGGTGGAGGGACTCAAACGGAACGGAGGAATGAAAGAAGGAGGAGGAGTTGTGATGGACACGCGTTTGAGGGGGGATGGGGACACACAACGGTGGGAGCGGGTGCGGGTGCGGGTGCGGGTCATCATTCCAGTCGTTGCCTTACTTCTGCTGGGGGAGTTCCACAGCGTGGCCGAGGACTTGGACAGTCGCTTGTTTATGACCGAGTCCACGTGTTTGGGCAGGTTGACGGCGGAGAGGGAGCATCTGCCTGAGAAG